GTGCAAATGTTAAAGCGCGGTAGTCGTCGCGCTGCGCATGTGCGAGATATATGGGTCTCTAATAAATAAAGATGGCGACTTTGACTGTTGTGCAGATTAATGAGTATGAATTGAGACAATTCCAAGCTTTAATTAAGTAATTTTCATGTTATTGGAAGGTATCGAAGGAGTCACCGGCGGTAATCATTGCAAGTCGCGCCCAGGTCAAACCTCATACTTGTGATTTCCATTTGAAGAGCGCATTGGATTGTGAGAAGATCAATGTTTATCAACACACATGTGGCACATGCGCAGCGGGACGACTACCGCGCTTTAAACTTATTATAACTTAGATACAGTTTCACTCGGTTTAGTCGCTGAAAAAGTGAAATAAAAATAATCTCACCATAGTATCAAGACATAATGAAAGTCGCATATTATGTTAACGAATTTTAACAGTTATTCTGTAAAACAAATGGGAATGATCTGAACTGATCTGAAGTTAGAATGAGGGCTATACGAATTGTATTTCTAACATTACTGCTATGTCTTGAGGTTTAATATATTGGCCAACCAGTATTCCATACATTTTGATGAGTTGATGTATTGCAGTGACGTGTAAAAATGGACATACGTTCAAATGGAGATGGCAAATTACACCAACAATACGCAGAAAACTGCAATTGTATAATTTTATTCGGTGAACATGCACAACACACTAACTGGCAGATATGACTCCGTGTATATGTTGGCTGAACAAATGGTACATTTACTTTTGACATTCTGTGCAAAACAGCAATCGTGCACAACATGTGGGTTGTACTGTACAACGCAAAACGTGTCAACCCCGGAAGCTCAAAAGTCACGTGATTAGTGTCAAATTTCGCAGGCACACTGCATTGGAGGTAATGAGCAATAATGATCCACATGTAATGTCAACCTTGGGAAACGACAATGACGTACGACAAAAGCATCTTACAGAATGGCAAAAACAAGATACCGACACATTTTGTTGCAGACATTCAAAAGATGAACTATGGATATGGATGTGGAAAGGAAATAAAACCGCACTGGAAGAATTAATAACAGTTACAAGAGCAAAAGATGTCGAAGACATGAAAGAAAAACGAAAAAAAGGACTTGAAAATAACAACTAATGAAATCAAATCACCGATGGTGTAACTACCAATCCCTAACATGTGGAATATGATGAGGTCAACGGAAAGATGGTATAACAAGACAGAACCAAAACAAAATGTTATGTATTTAAAAAGATAAAGATAATATAATGGTGGTAATGGTCTTGGGTAATGAGACTATTACACGATAGAGCACTATTTTGACGGGGGGGGGGGCAACATTCAGTGTTCTAATGAGCCAGCTTCAAACTTTATGTTTGACAATTTTCTGAATGCTCGAATAGCCGTGGCGAATGAATTCCAACTATTGACGTTCCTCTGAGTGTATTTTATCAGATAGTTTTTAAAGTGACTTGACTTGTAGTAACGTGACACCTAATTGTGAAAATACGTGGTATATGAATACTAATTAGGACAGTTTGCACGCCTAAAAACAGTTCAAAACGAGAGACGCAATATGGTGCATCACACTGTATTAAATAAGCAGTATCTATCTACATTCATTGTGATTTTCAAAATTACAACTAGCTGCACATAACGCAGAACAAGCAAATTTTGTATTTGATGAAATGCAAACTATGATTAAACAGATGTTC